TTCAGTTAACCTGTAACTTCTAATTCATTAACAATTGACTTTACTTTGTGCTTTTACTTTATGCCCTTTATCTTATGCCTTTAATTTTATACACCATTTACTTTAGAATGTACATTTCATGCTATTTTCATCTTTGCTCACTTGAGCATTTATCTTTATGTCATTTTATCTTTTCTCATTTGAGCATTTATCTTTATGTCCTTTTTATTTTTCTCACTTGAGCTTTCTTTTCTTTTTGAAGACTTAATAACCAACTTGAACATTAAAAAACTTTAAGGTTACTTGGACTATTTGGTTACTATCCTTGGCATAATGGAGTTGTGGACCTCTTGGACTTAGGATTATAAGCTTTGATACTCTTGGGAGATTGTGACTCTGTTGTTATTTTGTCTAAAGTTCTTGGGATTAATCCCAAGACATTGGGTTGATTTTATTTATGTGTAGGTTATCTTGGTTATATGAATTATCTGTGATTGAGAATTCCTCTATATACAGTCGTTACTCTGCCCAATTTTTGCGAAGACTTAATTCATCTGAAGCTTGGTGTTCCTAAGAGGTTTAGTATTTTTGCTTGCTTAGTTTCAATCCAAAGAATGGGAATTCTACATTGACTCCATATATCAAGTGTTGGCTTCTTATTGGTTAGATTGTTCTTTTCCTTGGCTTTTACCTTATACAATAGGATAGTCCCTTCATCTCCTCCCATCTTCTTTAATTTCAAAACCTTCTCCCTCCTTTTCAAAACTCTTATTGTTTTCTAATTTGAACCATTTTCATAATAAACATGGACTTATGTCCATGCATTTTCAAAAATATTTTCTTAATCAAACATTAATCAAATTAACCATACTTTGACATCTTTCTCAAGACTAAAGTCAATTAACCTCATTCAAACCATTTTTCCACTTTGGCTTTTTACTTTTAAAACTTTTTCTCAAAATATTATACTCTTGTTGATTCTTGTAGTGATGTAAACTATTATACTTATACGATGTATAGTGAAGCGAGATATTTTCCACTTGGGTGTTGAGTGAAGCTTTGTTGATTTTAAAATCCAAGTTATATGCTCCACTTTGAGATGATGCAAATCATCCTTTCTCATGATTGTGGGTAGTAAGTATGTTTTCCACTCGGATATGACGATGATGTCTCGTCTCTTAAAATTAACCAATACACTTGTGTTTTAAATTTTTTAAGGTAAACTATGAGTAACCCGATCCCTTATTGAAAGGATGGTGGTACGTAGGCACTAAAGGTTCGCAACCGTGATGGGTGCAAAATTGTAAAAAATACTTTTTTTCTCATCTCCACCATCTATTTTTGTATACATCTTTTATAGCCAAAAAACACAAATTTTCAAAGAGGTTCCTGCGGAGTACCATAGATTTTTAGGGTGCTAATACATTCCCTTTGCATAACCAACCCTCGTCGAAGATTCTCTCTCCTCTCTATTTGGGTTTATTCGCTCTTTTCCCATTCCCCTGGAAACAATAAAGCACGGTGGCGATTTTTATTTTGATTTATGAGAGTTAAGTCAATCCAATGGCTTAGTCTCACCATTTCTACCGCTACAGGCATCAGCTTTGTACCACCATGGTAAAGACTCAGGAATAGCCGATGGAGGACGAATTTGAACTAAAATTCATTATACCAAAGTAGGATACAACTCAGTATATGTCATTGGAATCAGGTCAAACTAGGCTTTTCTTGGAACATGATTTTGTTGATCAGATTGTCGATTCCTTTATGGTTGTTGATAAGCAGGTGCAGTAGGAGTTGTATTAACAATAGGAGTAACAACAACAACATACAGAAGATTAACATTACCTCTTAGTCTTCTTTGTCTCTCTTGCAAAATAGCATTAGACTATTCCTTCTTCTTAGAAAAACCATTACCATACTTCTTTACCCCACTATACGAACCTCCATCTTTGGATAAACGGCCATCATAAACCCAATTTCAACAAAACTCTCATTCTAAACACTTTTCAACGAAACTCTCGTTCTTCTTCACAATCCAAACCCAATTTCACCGAAAACGGAAGAACAAAGCCGCATCATAATTTTCAACAAAACTCTCATTCTTCTTCGCTATCCAAACCTAGTTTCATCGCAATCCAATTTCTAAACCTAGAGATAATTCATTTTCACCAAAACCCTTTTCATTTTCGCTGAAAGTCTCTGCTCATTTCACATTTCACCATCGCAGTTCACCACCCAGACGATTCATCAATACCGGAACCCTTTCACATTTTCATCGAAGCTCTTCTCAATGAATATGAAGAAGTATGGTTTTATAATTTGAGCGGCATGAATTGGTAGCAGAAGAATTAGGGTTTTATACTTTGAGCAACATGCATTGGTAGTTGAAGAATTAGAATTTTATACTTTGAGCAACATGCATTGGTAGTTGAAGAATTAGGGTTTTACACTTTGAGCGACATGCATTGGTAGGTGAAGATTTAGGGTTTTATACTTTGAGAGACATGCATTGGTAGGTGAAGATTTAGGGTTTTATACTTTGAGAGACATGCATTGGTAGCTGAAGAATTATAATTTTATACTTTGAGCGGCATGCATTGGTAGCTGAAGAATTAGAGTTTTATACTTTGAGCGACATGCATTAGTAGCTGAAGAATTAGGGTTTTATACTTTGAGCGACATGCATTGGTAGCTGAAGAATTTGGGTTTTATACTTTGAGTGACATGCATTGGTAGCTGAAGAATTATAATTTTATACTTTGAGCGACATGCATTGGTAGCTGAAGAATTAGGGTTTTATACTTTGAGCGACATGCATTGGTAGCTGAAGAATTAGGGTTTTATACTTTGAGCGCCATGCATTGGTAGCTGATGAATTATAATTTTATACTTTGAGCGACATGCATTGGTAGCATAAGAATTAGGGTTTTATACTTTGAGCGACATGCATTTGTGGCTGAAGAATTAGGGTTTTATACTTTGAGCAACATGCATTGGTAGCTGAAGAATTAGGGTTTTATACTTTGAGCGACATGCATTGGTAGCTAAAGAATTAGGGTTTTATACTTTGAGCGACATGCATTGGTAGCTGAAGAATTAGGGTTTTATACTTTGAGCGGCATGCATTGATAGCTGAAGAATTAGAATTTTATACTTTGAGCGACATGCATTGGTAGCTGAAGAATTAGAATTTTATACTTTGAGCGACATGCTTTGGTAGCTGAAGAATTAGGGTTTTATACTTTGAGCGACATGCATTGGTAGCTGAAGAATTAGGGTTTTATACTTTGAGCGACATGCATTGGTAGCTGAAGAATTAGAATTTTATACTTTGAGCGACATGCATTGGTAGTTGAAGAATTAGGGTTTTATACTTTGAGCGACATGCATTGGTAGCTGTAGAATTAGGGTTTTATACTTTGAGCGACATGCATTAGTTGCTGAAGAATTAGAATTTTATACTTTGAGCGACATGTATTGGTAGCTGAAGAATTAGGATTTTATACTTTGAGCGACATGCATTGGTAGCTGAAGAATTAGGGTTTTATACTTTTAGCAACATGCATTGGTAGCTGAAGAATTAAAATTTTATACTTTGAGCGCATGCATTGGTAGCTGAAGAATTAGGGTTTTATACTTTGAGCGACATGCATTGGTAGCTGAAGAATTAGGATTTTATACTTTGAGCGACATGCATTTGTAGCTGAAGAATTAAGGTTTTGTTTCAAAAATTAGTTCTTAACTTTTGTTTATTGCTGTTTGGATGAGATTGTTGTTGGATCTGAAAATTAGTGTCAAGTGAAGTTTATTAGTGCAGGTAAATTTCGAACTTTTGTTTTCTTCGTTATTTATGTTTTATGGCTTTAGTGTTGTTAAGAGTAGATATTCTATAGTGCATGTTGAAATAGATCCTATGTGTGTAATATTTTCTTCGTTATGATTTAATTTATTCTTCTAATATGCTTTTCTTTGTGACTTTTCTTCTATTGTTTTAGGATTTTAGTGTTATATATATAAAAAATTGCGTTGAAATTAGAAAGAAAATCCAATTTGCAGCACTTGATCTGCAGCAAAGAACAAATTCCAAAAAATGGCAGCATTATCTCCTCTCTACCAGCAGTGTGATGATGGAGTATATATATTGTGTTTAGCTGATGAATAGATGGATATAGCACAAGATAATAGACTAAACATCTTGTGGTTTAAGCCACTAATCACTTGAAATGATATTGCCGTATAACTTTTTTTTGGGTCTAATTGCTTCTTTTTTTCTCTGGTTTTTAATGGCATTTAGGCTATTCTGGTTTTGTTGAGGGGATTCTTAGGTGGTAACTATACAATCATTGCAAGACAAAAACATGGTTAATGTCTGTAAAACACTGGTGAAGGTGGCACCAATTTCGATGTGCATCAATTTTCTTAGATTTAGAATGATGGGTCTTTTGTAAAAGAGCTATTTAGTCTAGAATCAATTAGTCTTGGCTCTGGTTATTGTATTTTTTCTCTCCAACCCAACACAATCGTGTTGTTGGTGGACGAGAGAAAATTTGATGTGCACTTCAAACAGTGAGCACTTTGAATACCCTGCCAATTTTGCAAGGCTGCCACTCAAATTCTCAATGGGTATCTCTACCTATCTGTCCCCATTCTTTCCATGTGATTAGCTGCACTTTTTTTAATTTAATTTTGCTCTGATTAAATAATATAACATGTCTTCTTCACTAGTCGAATACAATCTTACACAAGACACTATCTATTCTTTTTCTGGTAACCTTTTATCTTCTCTTCTTTACTATTTCATAAATTGCAGAACTCTTTTGGTTAAAATATCAAAAACAAAAAAAAATTATATTTCCGTTGCCGAGTATCCTAACCAACTAGACTAGAACGGATTGTTGATGACCTTGAAATTCAATTGAATTTAATATAGGAATATTATTATTATGATGATATGGCAGTATGGGTAAGGGTTGAAGGTTCAGGTTCAGTTATGATAAGGGCAAGACTGGAAGCAGAACATGATACATACAAATGTATTGGAACAGTTTCTGCCAAGAGTGGATGTTGGTCTTCTTAAGGGTGGTTTTGTTCTTAACTCATCTTCAAATTCATCTACCATAATCTCTCATGTATTTGGTTTTGGCGATATCGTGCATCTTGCTATTGGTGACGAGGTCCCTGCTGATGGATTATTTGTTTCTGATATTCTCTATTTATTGATGTCTATACATGACTGTTGTGAAAACGTGCATTTGTATGAAAAGCAAAGAAGTTAGCAACAAGACTTCTAGTTTGTGCTCTGAACTCCCATAATATTTTATGAAACTGCTGCTCCAGTCAATATTTAACAACACCGGAGAAGAGATTTTGGTTAAAGTTGAAGTTGAGTCATTCAACTCAACTAAGAAAAGAATGGGTGTACTGGTGGAGCTCCCTACCGGAGGTTTAAGAGCACATTGTAAAGGTGATTCTGAATTAATAGGGAGTGTAATTCGTTTAAGGATTAGAGCTTTAATTACACTAATTCTCATTTAACTTTGGACAAGTATAGGTATTATGACTTGGTATATGAAATATTATTTTTATATGTGTCACTTTATAGTATTTGAAATATTATGACTTTTTAGTACATGAAATATGAAGAAATGTGATAACTAAAATAAGGTGTAATGTAGCATATGAAATATGGTGTAAATGGAATTAAATATAATATAATTTATTCATTCATAAAGGGTTTAAATTATATTTAAAAAGGGTGTAAAATTATATTAAAACAGGGTGTAATTACACCAAATTTTTATTTAAAAAGGGTGTAAAATTATATTAAAACAGGGTGTAATTACACCTGATTTTTATTTTAAAAAAAGGTGTAAAATTATATTAAAAAGAGTGTAATAACACTCGATTTTGTTTTTAAAAATGGTGTAAAATTATATTAAAACAGAGTGTAATTACACCCGATTTTTATTAAAAAAATATGTAAAATTATATTTATAAAGAGTGTAATTACAACCAATTTTTATTAAAATAGGATGTACATAAGAACATATCTACACTCGATTTTTATTAAAATAGGGTATACATAAGAACGTATGTACATCTGATTTTTATTAAAATAGGGTGTACACAAGAACGTATTTACACCCGATTTTTAATAAAAAAGTGTGTAACGTAGAACCTATTTACTCCCGATTTTTATTTAAAAAGGGTGTAACCTAGAATCTATTTACATCTGATTTTAAACGGGTGTAAATACGTCAGACATTTCTCACTCGATGAATATACACCCGATTTTTATTAAATGTAATGGGTGTAAATTAACCTTTTGTACTAGTGTCTTGCCGAACAAGCCCTTCCCCTTCATTGCCTTAAGCTCCTTCTCTAGCTCTTAGAACTGATCTTAGAAGTCTTCCAACCTATTATTCATATCCATACTTTCACTAGGAGCATGATACACATGAATTTCCTCATGTGGCACAATGTGTACCACTGGAGGAGCAGTAACCATAATAGGTTGAGCAACAATAATTTGATTCACTAGAGGAGCCTCAGTAGCAGGAACAAAATTATCAGGCATGAAGTTGAGAGGTATGCCCCAAGGATAGCCATCAGGCATTTGATTTTGACGCGGAGGACCCACAGGTGCAACAAACACAACAGCAGTTACAATCTCATAATTCACGGTAGCCTGAGGTGGAAGAGGTGGAGGTTAAGGATGATTATGCATTGCAACGAAAGATTCCAACAATGCGGTTATCCGGCCCATACCATTCTTCAAGGAGTTGACTTCTTTCATGAGTTCCTTCTGCACTTGCTAAATAATTTCCATTCCCCTTCTAGAATTGGCTTGAGTATTGTATTGATGAAACAGCTTGACTTCTACGAAGATGGAGGAAAATGAATGAGACTCGAGAAAGCTTACGGAAAGCAAGACCAAATGATGTATGATACATGAGATTCAATGTAAATGATTTCTTATTTATTTTTAGTTTTCAATGAACTTAAGAATTTATAACAAATTGTAAACATCTTAAGTAAATAAATGAATATCTCATTTCATTAAAATGGAAGGATTACAAACTGAAGTACATAGCTTCAAACAATCATAAACAACAAGAGGAAAAAATCTATATCCTAAGGGTCCAAAGGAACCACATATAAAGAAGATTCCACTCCATGCTGCAACTTCCTCTTGAGCCTCTTGATCTGATCCTCATAAGAAACCTTCATTTGAGCTTTCTCTATCACAATCTTGTCAATAATGCCCTTCCAAGCACCTGATGTAAGAGGAACATCAGAAAACTCATGAGTACCTTGAAATGGAAAAATTCTAAAGGAAAATAAATCTCCTTGCATCATTTTCCTCTTCTTGTCATGTTGCTCAAACAACTTGTCTTTCTGAAGAAGAAACTCATCCTTCTAAAGAAGCAAATCATACTTCCCCTTCAATTTCTTTTGCAACTCTAACTTCTCAGCATTGGAAATATATAATTTGTTCTCCTAATCCTCCTTCTCCTATTTAATTTTGGCTAAAGCACCTTGAAGAGCTTCCTTATATTCAACAAGAACAATGGATGGCTTAGGGACCACAAGACTCAATGGCTTCTCAAAAGCATAAGGCATCTTGAGCTCACGAGCTATATCCTTCACCCATTGAGTATAGGGCTCCAAAGCAACACAATTCTTTCTTCCTAACTCATTCCTCCCCTTTCTGTGGACAATGTGCCAAGAATGGGCTATTCTCTTCTTCAATATTTGATTATCCTTACCTTCTTGGAAAAATAAACCTTCCAATAAAATTTTGTTAGGTTTGTCCATCATAGCATATCCAACCTGACGTCTTGCTAGGATCAGATTATAGTTAATTCTCCCTCGTGTACCAAGAAGAGGCACATTAGAGAATTCTCCACAATTATCAATGATCTTCACATTATCATATACCAGAGAATACCAAGTAATATCTTCACTAGTGAAGGACGTGATCTTCTAAGAGCACCTTGAACATCTCTTGTTATCTTGGAAAGACCTGGATTGAGGTAAGTGCGAAATAAACCACTTGTACAGTAAAGATGCACAATAGACGATGGTTCCACCACTATTTAAGATTTTATGATGAATAGAGTAGTAGGTATCCCCGAGCAAGGTAGGAACTGGATTCCCAATCAAGAAAATACATATAGCATTAATGTTAACGAAATTGTTAATGTTAATAAAGAGGATAAGACAATAGATGATGAAGGCAAGAATAGCTTCAAAAGCAACCATGCTTCCTGCGCTAGCTAGAGTAAAAGCTTTCCTCATCAAGAACTGAGAAGTCAACCCAAGGATGCCACCTTTAGTAACAAGATTAACTTCTATCTCTGCTTTCCTCAAATGAATAGCTCCCGCAATAACTTATGGCTTAGGAATCTCCTCCAAACCGCTGAAAGGAATCCGATTAGAAACATGCAACCCTACAAGATAAGTATATACTCCTCCAGGGTAGGTGCAAGCTGATAATCTGGGAAAGTAAAACACCGATAAAAGAGATCATAAAACTGGACCAAGGTGTTGAAAATTCCATCTTCAACGTCAGTATACAAGATAGCCAAAATCTTCCCATAACAGTCTTTGAAACCTAAAGCACTAGTCACCAAAGATCCAAGCTTTCTCAACTTCTTCAATTCAGGATTTTTGAAACTGTACTTCTGAGGATTTCTCTTTCCAAGTTCCATAACCACAATTCCTGCGATGTTTGCAAAGAAAAATCCTAAGTTCCTTGAAAACCAGGGGAAAAAGATGTTTATGAATGCATGAATGCATGGTTATGCCACAATCACAAATATGGTAGGTTCAAAGGTTTGACATCACAAGCATGGAGTCAAAGGGTACTACCCACCCACAAGGTATGTTCTATTGGTTTCATCATCTGGACAAGTAATCGAGTTTTAACAAGGTTCCAGAGTCTTAGCTCCATCTTTCTAATATTATTGGTGTAAACGACTTACTCGTAAACAAATAATATTCTCAAGAGAAACTCGTATGAGTGTAGTATCGTGTATCAACTAAACCAGGTCTACATCGAGATAGTCACCACATTATATTCTAAAAAGGCCAAGAGGAGAAAAATGGGTTATAAGGTCCTCAGCTTTGCAGACTCCCAGGTCGAAAGCAATAATGTCGTTATAATTTTACTCATAGGACATTATTACTGTCAAAGGGGCCTCAACTGAGCGGGGGATCTCAAGTCAACATACTAAGTATTGACTCCAAGCATATCACACATGACTATACCACCCTCTTAATCGTAAGTGTACTTAACTTCGGGTATATGATTTCTCACCGTACAGAGAGATCACCAAGCACCCTACAAAAAAGAGAAAACAATAAGCAATAATATAACACAGGTAAATAAATATAGGCTCAACCCACTTGAGGATTACTCCCCAGTGGAGTTGCCAAACTATCACAGCGGGGGGACTTGAGATTAAGCTATTGATTAACTTAACTCAGAAAAAGTAAGAGTTTTAAAACCCACAAAAAGTTTTAAAAAAACTAATAAAAAAAATATGAATACGGGGGTTGGTTATGCAAAGGGAAGGTATTAGCACCCTTCACATCCATGGTACTCCATGAGAACCTATTGAAAATTTGTATTATAAAAAGGTGTTGTTTGCAAAATGATGATGGGATGGGAAAAGAAGTTATTTTTTATGACTTGTGTTTGACAAGACTTCAAGAGCCTTGTGTCTATGTATCCTCCAAATGAAATGAAGAATCAAAACCTCGTAGTTTATGGTAAAAATAACAAAAGTTTATTTGTTTTGGTTAATTTTAATGAAAAGACATGTTGTTGTATTCGAGTGGAAAACTTACTTACTACCCACAATTATGAGCCATGAGCATTTGCATCATTTTGATATGGAGCAGTTTTCTTGGATTTAATCAACAAGGAAATTCTCAACATTCAAGGGGAAAATGTCAATCCCTTCACAACATATTGTATAAGTATAGTGGTTTGCATCACTACAAGAATCAACTAATGTCTAACCTTTGAGAAAAAGTATTAAAAAGGAAAAGTGCATAAAATATTTGAATGAGTTCGGTTTTTTTTAGTCTTTTAAAAAGAGTTTTAATATACTTAAGATGTCTTAGAATTTATTAAGAAAGTGTTTTAAAAATCACTTGAAAAAGTCAAGGTTTATTGAGAAAGAGGTTTCAAGTTTGAAAACAAGAAGATTTTGAAATAGAGAGAGGATTTTGAAAATTAAAGAAGGGGAAAAGATAAAGAGATTAT